AAGCTTCAACAAAAGAAAATTCAAAGAACTTAGCGAAGAAGGCTTTGGTGTATTTAACACAATACGTTGAAATGAAGGAAAGCTTATTTATTGATATCCCCGATAAGTTACAAATATGTACATATACTTGAGTCAAAATAAACAAACAAGAGGGAGCCTTCACAAAGGTTGCTTAGGAGAAGTCTCAGCAGTCGGTAGAGCCCCAGAAAGAGAAGGCACCGGAGGGGGATCATTCGGAGCCTCAGTACTGGACAAAACCCTAGAAGGAGGAGGCATCAGAGGTTGATCATTTGGAGCTTCATTACGCGGTACAGCCCCAGAAGACGAAGGCAATAAATGCCTTTGGAACAAACCCACAAATCTCTGATGATCAAGTAAAACCTGACCATCAGATTCCTTCATCTGGTCAAGCTTCCTCTTCATGTTTGTAGCATAGTCATGTGCGAGCCGGTGCAACTGTTTATTCTCATGCTTGAGCCCTCTAATCTCCTGTTTGAGACTCATCACTTCAGCCGCCAATGATTCAACTTGGCGGGTTCGAGCAAATAGGCGTTGGGCCATATTAGACACAGAACCTGCACACTGAACACTGAGAGCCAGAGAATCCTTAACAGCCAACTCATCAGACCGTTTGGAAAGTAGTCTGTTATCTTTGGGAGTGAGAAGGTTCCTGGCCACTACCGCAGCGGTCATATCATTCTTCATCACGGAATCCCCAACGGTAAGAGGACCAGTAGGGGAGACGAAGGATGGGCGCCATATGTTGTCTGGAGAAGGCGGGGCTGCCTCTTCAACAAGGTTCAAGTCAAAACGACGGTCGGAGGGGCCAGACATTTTCAAAGGTGTTGAAGAGAGAAGAGGTCGGACAAATCAAGATCTTAGAAGTGCAAGAATGGAGCTTCTACTGGTGGATATTCAAGTGTGCTTTGGAACTTAATGTCAGCCCCTATAAAAATCTGCACTCGACGAAGCTTCAGAAATCGAAGAGGCGCCTGCTCAGAAATCGAAGAGGCGTTTGCTTTCTCAAAAGCTGGGCTGCTCAGAGACCACGAGGGTCGATCTCAGAAATCGAAGAGGCGTTTGCTTTCTCAAAAGCTGGGCTGCTCAAAGACCACGAAGGCCGATCTCAGAAATCGAAGAGGCTTGCTTTTCTCAAAAGCTGGGCTGCTCAGAGACCACGAGGGCCGATCTCAGAAATCGAAGAGGCACCTACTTTTCCAGCCTTGTCAGCACCTGTCACACGCACACTCAGCTTTGCGGAAATTATGGGCATTCTGTCGAAGATTTCTGGCGAAGTAGAAAGCACATGAATCGTACTGTTCAATCACCCACTTCCCACACGCAACAGTAGCTCATGGGTACCACAGATAACTTTGCCAAAGTTCTCTGACAAAGTTGAGACACGTGAAGCTTGCAGCTCCCACTACATCGCTCTGACCAAGAAGGGTAAAAGAATTGCAAAGAAACAACACTAACAAAGTTTAGACACATAAATTTTGAAGGTCTAGCTACCATATTATTACCCACAAGGGTAAAGGAACAGTACCACTGCTGGATAATTGGAAAGTCCCGGTGTGTCAACCTCTGTGCTTCGTGGCAAGGTAGACTAGCAAACATGCCCAACCTTTACTCACATTCGAGAAAACACTCCCAACAAGATTGCTTGCTCCAAAATCGAAGAGGCACCGCCCTCCGAATCTCGAGAGCCAGACTCCCAACATGATTACTTTCTCAAAAATCGAAGAGACACCGCTCTCCGAATCTCGAGAGCCAGACCCCCAGCAGGATTGCTTTCTCAAAAATCGAAGAGGCATCGTTCTCCGAATCTCGAGAGCCAGACCCCCGACAGCTTGTCTGTAATCTTCACACGCAACATCAGCTTTCCAGATACCACAGACCACTTTTTCAAAGTGCTCTGACAGAGTTAAAACATGTGAAGCTGGCAGCTCCCACTACCGTGCTATGACCAAGCAGGGTAAAGGAATAGCATTATTACTTGATGTTAGGGAGACTCCTATATATATGTCGACCTCCATCCCCAACGGACAGGCAGACCTGCAAAAATGCTCAACCCTTTCTCTTATCTGAGAGGGCACTCCCAACGAAGCCTTTCGAAATATTCAGCTTTCTTTCCCCCCGATAATACCTCTGTAAACAAGCTATACTAGAGCAAGAATATCTCATATCATCAGGGTTAAAAGCAAGAGTATCCCATATCATGCTTTTTCCCTGTCTTTTCCTTTGGCCTTGTTCTTACCTGCAAGACAAGGAGAAAGAGAGCAATCAGTCAGCACTTGGAATCAAGCTTCCAGCCAGGAACTGACTGCCTGGAACCCCTTACCTGATTACTTACCTGGCATTGCTCTCGAGTACTCATCTTCAACATCTTATGCTTCCAGGGAAGATACCGCATCTGCCTGAGGAACAGATAGGGCAAGTGAGAAGGATACAAGGAAGCATGTGGAGACAAGCGTAACAGCACACGTGCCGATACATCCACTACTCTGTCAAAAGCAAAAGTATCCCATATCAGCAGGGTCGAACGTACTCTAGATTTGATGGACTTGTTTTGACCCTCAAATTCTTCAGTCGGCCTTATACTCTGGAGGAAACCAGAAAACCCTCCAGCCCAGTTCAAGAATAAGCCTGTGGAAAGTTACTTCTTCAAAAGCAAAAGTATCCCATATCATCTCTCTCCTCATTTTTCTTCTCTTTATCCTTCATGCTGCCTGCAAGATAGGGAGAATGTGAACAATCAGCCGGAGCTCTGATTGCTTACCTTGTCTGTCACCTCTTTCAGCAGATCCCCAGCTCGGCGACTTGGGGGACTCCTACTACATGGTTTGTATCTCGCTTGACCAAGCATGAAACTACAAGTAAGCTTCAAGTGAAATTGATACATTACCTTGTGCATCTCCACCAGTTACAGATACCACCCCTGGATGGAGGAAGAGTACTTCCAGAGAAGATGCCATATCTACCTATGAGACAGATAAGGCAAGTCAAGACGATACCACACTCCGGTACTTAGAAGTTTCGTGGCTACGAGATCATTCTCCCACAATATTTCCTAATGTCATTTGTACTAAATCATTCACTTGTACTCACTCAAGGAGAGCTTGAACCTATGTACTTGTGTAAACTCTTCACAATTAATGAGAACTCCTCTATTCCGTGGACGTAGCCAATCTGGGTGAACCACGTACATCTTGTGTTTGCTTTCCTATCTCTATCCATTTATATACTTATCCACACTAATGACCGGAGCAATCTAGCGAATATCACAAAAAGTGACCGTTTTCGCTACCTAGGATCTATCTTGCAAGAGAACGGAGAATTAGATGGAGATCTCAACCATAGAATACAAGCTGGATGGATGAAGTGTAAGAGTGCATCCGGCGTGTTGTGTGACCGTCGTAGGCCACTGAAGCTCAAGGAAAATTTTATAGGACGGCAATAAGGCCAGCGATGTTGTATGGCACAGAATGTTGGGCGGTGAAGCATCAACGTACACAAAATGGGTGTAGCGGAGATGAGGATGCTTCGTGGGATGTATGGGCACACGAGAAAGGATAAGATTGGGAATTAGGATATCCGAGGTAAAGTAGGAGTAGACAAAATTGAAGGAAATATGAGAGAAAATCGGTTCCGGTGGTTTGGACATGTGCAAAGAAGGTCTACTGACGCTCCGGTTCGAAAATGTGACTACGGGACAGAGGTTCGGGGCTGAAGGAGTAGAGGAAGACCTAGGAAAACTTTGGAAGAGACTCTAAGAAAAGACTTGAGTACTTGGATCTAACGGAGGACATGACACAAATGAGCGCAATGGCGTTCTAGGATTCATATAGCCGACCCCACTTAGTGGGAAAAGGCTTTGTTGTTGTTGTTGTTGTTGTTGTAGTGTTACAAAACATGTTAACTTCAAAACTCATACGATTTGGCCCAAAACCACTAAAATTCTTCACTCATATTGGAAAGGGTTTAACAAATTAGGCATAATTGAGGACACTAACTCTAAGAATGGATAAAACGCACCGACAACTTTAAGTTTTATACAAAAACACCTCAAAGAGCTCAATTGGAGAACACGGTATCTCAAACACAGATCACCCGAAAGAAAAACATCATTCAGACTTACAATGCCTAATACTACAAATGAAATCCTAGTTCCTACAATACTGTGTGAAAAACCCGACCGCATTGTTCAACAGCATTGTCAAATTGAGCACAGTTCTAACTGATTTTATACATAATTCAATGATCCAGAGCACCGCAACCATAATTTGAACAGTTTGCATTCAAATTTCAGTAAATAATTAACCTTTTTTCACCCATATGCAGTATATTCAATTTCTTGAGAAAAAGTGTCGATGAATTGAAAAATGAAGAAAAACCCAGATGAAAGAACCTGAATTGGTTCCAGAAAGCCTTGCGGGCATCTTCAATTTGGTGAAGCTCTTCTGGGGTTCCAGTCTCTGGGTGGAACTCCCACACCTGGCGGCCCAAGTGGTTGTTCACACTCTTCAGCCATTGACCGCCACCTTCTCCTCCCACTATCTCTGCCCCTACCTTCAGCTTCCACATTTTTTACTTTGTTCTCTCTCTCTCTGCCAATGAGATTGTATGTACTTTGCATACGTCGCTAAATCCGCGTGAAGTTGAGAACGCATCAATTTTTGAGATTTCTTTCCAACTATAAAACTACACTTTTACACTAAAAGTCTGGTACAATTCACTTCATTATTTATTTTATCCTTAGACCTCGTTTGGCAGCTCGGACTGTACTGACTATTTCTGTCGGATATGATAAATAGCCACCGGATAGTACTGACTAAATTAGTCGGGCGTTTGTTGCAGTATCGGATTAATGACCGTATTATTTATACTGTGTTTGGTACTGAACCGGATAGGATAAGAGAAAAAAAAAATTAACAAATCTTTCTTTGTTTGTTGAACTTTTCTCATATTTATACATATTGAAAACCACATAAATTTTCAAATAACAAAGAAAAATAGTAAATTCCATACATCAAATTCAAAATATTTTCCAATAACATAAAAGAAGGTTCACAAAAAACAACTACAATCGTTACATTATATAATCCAACCACATATTCAAGTTCATAAAATATACAAATGCAAGTTGGTTTCAGTAAGAAACAGTTTGTCCAAATAGCCAAAACATATGCATGCTGCTTTTAACAAAATATATGCATGCTGCAGCTTTTAATAAAAGATATGCATGCTGCTTTTAACAAAATATATTGTTGTTGGTTTGAAATGTCAATTGCGGTTACTTTGTCCAAGTAACATGAGTACGAAAGCTTTTTTCATTGCACCATCCAAAGACAAGAATGTCCTCTCATTCTGTGGCTTTTCGAAAAGAATATTTAGTGCCTTGATTTGATCCTCAATAGACAAATCCATCTTTGACAATTCTGAAGCAATCTCAAGTTTTGGATCCACTCCTTTCCCAAAAGCAGCTTGTAAAACTTCACCCAACTTATCCACTGATTCAGAAAGCATTTCTTTAAATGCCACAGCAAGATCATTATCATTAGCAGCTCTCTTCCTTTTCCGGGTACTTGAACTGCTTGACCGTTGAGCAACAGAAGGATAACTAGTCTCCACCTCATCTTCATCTTCATCTTCATTAATGTGCTCAGGCTCATTCATCATCAGAGTAGGAGTTGCAGCTCCTACTCCAATTGCTCGGTCTTTCCCAAAAATAACATTCAATCTGTCATACAATGGAAACGATTTTCCTAGCCAGCCCTGTACTTCTTTGTTAACCTGCAATGCAAAAACAAATCACATTATCCATAAAATACAAATAATCTTATTTTGTTCCAGAATGGGGCTAGAGGATATGGTTTGGTAGACACAATCATACTATTAAATTGTATGTAAAGGAACATGTTAAGTAATCAAATATGTAAAGTTAAATTCTAGTATTATGTTACAGAATTACCTTCACATAAGACTGCCATACTTCATTGCTATCAACCTCAATACACTTTCGTACATCATTCCATGCAAAACCAGTTTTATTAACCATGTCATAAACTATTGCATAATCTTTTTTCCACCTCCTCATTTTGGACTCAATATGTGGAACTGCCTTTATATTGGCATTAGGACATTTCAAATTAATAGCAGTTTCAAATTGAGCCATTGTTCCGGGTTTGAAACAACCGTTATCACATCGCAAATTCTTAACAACTGCATCCTCAAGTATGGACATCAATGCATCTTCTTCATATTGTTTCCAAACCCTTCTACTTCCTTTTGGTTGACTACTTTGTTCACTTTCCACTCCTATAATTACATACACAATAAGATAGCATATAATCAACAGTGCATATAATTAATAGTAAGTGATAAAAACCATAAGTAAATCATCACACTTTTTAAATAAATACATAAGCAGGTCACACTTTGTTAAGTATCATAACCGAATACATAAGAAATCACTATTTGTTCAAATAACAAACCATAACCAAATGACAACATGCATATGTAAGAAAATTTAATCAAATCACACTTGTGCACACCACTCATTGTACATATTCATGGCCAAAGTGTTTCTACATGCAGTCCATTCTTGTGTAGGTTGAACAGTCTCAATCATATCTTCATCATCATCACTACTTTCAGATTCGTCCAAGTTTAGGATTTCATTTTCTATTGGATCAGCTGACATATGCCTTCTAATAAGATTATGTAATAGGCAGCAGGCTGTCATAATTCTAAGTTGTGTTTTAATTGAGAAAAATGATGGACCTTTTAAGATGCTCCAACGCATCGTAAATAGTCCAAAACATCTCACAATGACATTTCTAGCTTGAGCATGTTTCATATTGAAATACTCTTCATGATTAATCGGGAGTCTTCTATTTCTCCACTCCGAGAGATGGTAACGCACTCCTCTATACGGTGCAAGGTATCCTGGACCATTTGTATACCCACCATCCACAAGGTGGTAACACCCTAACACATAAAAAAATGTATATTACTATATATAAGAAAAATGAGGATTCAAATTACTAATATAAACAAAAAATCTATTGTTACCCGTGGGAACTTTTAATCCCGATGGTCTACTTATCGCATCTCGAAGTACTCTAGAATCAGAGGCCGACCCTTCCCAACCTGGGTACACAAATATAAAATTCATGTCCATATTACAAACTCCCAACATATTGGTCACAATCTGTCCCTTCCTCAATCGGTATCTTGGTTTATCTCGTTCAAGGACATGAACGTTAATGTAAGTCCCATCCAATGCCCCCAAGCAATTCTAAAAAAAAATCATTAACATTAGTAAGCTCAATATATTTAATTACATTAATTTTAGAAGTAATTTTTATAAAATATGAAGAATACCTCAAACCAACTCCATTTAGGATCTGGGTAGGCATTAGGAATGGGTTCTGGCACTTTCAAAAGTCTACCTTGTAGCCTTAACACTCCATGTAGAATGGAATTGAAATACCTACTTATGGTCTCCCCCGATCGACAAAACCTACTCCCAATTGTACGATTCTTGACATGATGTGCAAGTATATGCAAAAACATGCAAACTTGTTCTTCCATTGTCACTACACCATCCAATTTTACTCTACCATCGTCACGAAGCATCTGACATAAATAATGGAATGTTCTTCTATCCATTCTAATTTGGTTCACACACTGAACATCATCATATCCTATTATGCTATCTAAATAGGCTGACCCTACCATTCTCCTAACAAATGTGCAATTTCTAAGTGCAAGTTGCCGATTCCGCCTTCTAGCTGAATTATGATTCATCATAAACCACATCATCAACCAAGTCACAATATTCAAGTACCACAACTTAACAATGAAGCATGCCACAATCTTTCTTTCATCCATGTCTAGTGAAAATATAAAATAACATTACTAGATAGTGGCAAAAAATTAAGTAACTCGAGCATGAATGCATAATAACACTGAAAACGGAAGGAAACATGTTAATAAGTCCTGCCAAAAAATATGGTTGGAGCAAATATGGTCAACTAGGACATGGGGATTTTGAGGATCACCTTGTTCCTCACAAGCTAGAAGCCTTGAGTGACAAATTTATTTGTGAGGTGATCTCTTAGCTTTTAGACTCTAATATAATGCTTTATTGATTCGTATAAAGATACAAGCAACTTTGGTACTAGTTTTGAGTTAAGTTTCGTGCCTTGTGTTTTGTTAATTTGATATTATTTTTTTTCCCATTCCTTTTTGGCATCTGTGGTTGTCACGTATGGTATCAGAGCTCTTATGACATGTGAAATCTATCTTCTCTACATCCGTATTATTTGTTAACTTGCAAACCACATGGGATTGATCTGTCTTTGTTGGTTCATTCCCTAACTGCTTAAGCCTTTGTCTGATAATCAATTAAATTTTATATTATTTGATCATACTACATGGAGCTTACTGAACAAATATACAATGGAGAGTAATGAAATGGTTTGGGCAGCAAAGAAGTCTAGTCTATGATGGCACTTTGTACGACCTCAAAGCATTATATATTCATCACCTCATGTTGCATCAAAATTGACACAAATTAAGCCGAAACATTAGAAGAGCAACAACTCTCCCTTTCTTCTCTATTTCTCACTCACACTCTTTTTTCTAAAAGGCAATTACTTTACAAAGTGGAATAAATGCCAATCAACAATTCAACAACCATAGTCCGAAATTATTCACACATATATATATCCAGATAAAAAGTAAAATTCACATAAAAATTAAAAAATGGATAAAAGCTGAGAGGGAGTGATGCAAAAACTGAGAAGAACAGCAATTGGGATCTAATTTTCGGGCCATAGACGGTGATGGGGAGTGAGAGACAGAGAACAAGAGTGAAGAGAAATTGGCTTACCCAATTGTCCGTATGGTTGCGTTGCGGCTGCGAGACAGTGAGTGAAACGGGAGCTGCGCCAGAGACAAAGTTTTGTTTAGGTAAGTGAACCTTCACACTCCCACTCTACCCAATCATTAATTCTAATTAAAGTTAAACACTAACAACAAACCCTAAATTCGACCCCAATAGCAAACCCTAAAATTCAAAAATTCTAATTAAAACAAAAAATTACATAATCAATTGCATAATTAGAGAGAAAATAATAACTAGATTCAATCAATTGCAAGACAAATAGGAGGAGGGGGAAGAATAGAGGGAGGGGCGGAATCCCAGAAGAAGAAAATTGAAAAGACGAATTATGATTCAAACGAAGAAGAAGACTGTGAGAAGACAAACTTGGGATGAGAGCAAGATGGCATCTGGAGAGGAAGAGAGAGCGCTTGGAGAGGAAGAGAGAGTGCCTAGAGCGGAAGAATTCGTTTGGAGAGGAAGCGGAAGACTGCGTCGGGAGAGAAGAGAGCCCGACTAATTATACCGTGAAATTGGATGGTATAAGCAAGCGGGTACACACCGTGTAAAAAAGGTGGGCCTGGATTATTTAATCCGGTGCCTATTTAATCCAAACTGTCACCAAACATTGTACACCGTATTATTAGTACTATCCGGTCCCTTATACGGTGTGCCAAACAGGGCCTTATAGTTAAAATTCAAAATTTTCAAACCCGTTTTATTAGTTTTCCTTTCTTTCTTTCCTTTTGTTGGCCATGTGAGCACATCAATCATTGTGTATTTAGGAAAGAAATCATTATTCTTCTAATAAATAGTTAAATACTTGTTTTATATAACAATATACTTGTTTCATTATACTTAAAAATAATTAAGTTTTCACCGTAAAAATAAATTAAATAGTGTATAAGAAGTAGTTCAACTCCTTATAAACCTTGGCAAAACGTGCTAAACTTTTGATGTGAGATATTTCTTCACATCCTCAAAAAAATACGTCTCCCCATTGTTGTATAAAAAAACAAATACTATTTTTTACTAGTGTTTGGTGAATTGAATTGAAAATTGGTTATTGGTGCATAATTTGCATTAAAAAATTCATATCTAAGTATAACTGGATAATGATATATATACAAATATTGGCCACTATTAATTCACTACATCACTGCCAGTAGTGTTCTTGCTCACCACATAACCATTTTATTTCTATACTAGCACCACCACCAATCACAACTTTATATTATCAAGACATTATTTTTAGTGAGGCTTTCTACATTAGCACTCTCTTCTCATTTATCTTATGGCTATTGTTTAAGTAAAGTCTTTAATAGTTTTTTAATTAATGTAGAAGTGTGAAAGATATAGAAAAAATATATAAACACTCGTAATGACAAGCTTTATAACTTTCGTGAATGGCTTAACTTTGAATTGTGCCGCTATAATCATATAAATTATAGATCAAAATTTAACCAACGATTGTTGTTTACATTATGCTTCATTTTTCTCACCAAATTTTGTTTTTTTCAAATTTTGTTTTTTGAAAACATGATCTATTAGAGGATACAGGAAGATGAACAGTTCAGATCGTTGATATTATGTTTAGAGTTTTACCGTTAGTGAAAATATTGTTTGGTGTTTATAAAGTCTTTACAAACTATATAGCATCGACTCATATTTCAATTAACCGTAAATATTGGAACATGATATCAAAGATCCCAACCGTTCATCTTCCTACATCCCCCAGAAGATCATGTTTTCAAAAAAGAAAATTTAAAAATGAAATTCAATATAAAGAATAAACGACAATCTACGATTAAATACAAATTTAAGGTTTATGGATTATAGTGTCGGATTTCGAAGTTGACCCCTTCACGAAAGTTGTAAAGCTTGTTACTACGAGTGATGGTATTTTTTTTTTTTACATTTCTTACACTTCTATAATAATTATTATTAATTTTATTACTTTTACACTAAAAAAAAAACACTATTCATGACGGTTTGGAGGGTTTTAAAAATCTAAACGATAATGTAAGTGTAACCATTGTCTACTCGTGGAGGAATGATGAATCACGAGTGTTTATATATTCTTTTACATTTTTCATACTTGTAGGGGTGTCTAAGTGTCTTATTGCCTATACTAATACTATACTAGTTGATTTTAATTTTGGACAACAACATGTTAAGTAAAATTTATCCTATTAATGATAATAAGAAACTCTCATAATAAATATAAATAAATGAATAAAACTTAATTTTTTAAACCTATACAGAATAATAATACAATATATATATATATATATATATATATATTTAATATAGAATATACCAATATATACAATATGGCTATTGTATTTTATAAT